CACACTGCACACACACATCAGCACAAACCAGCTCATTGCTCTGCAAACACACACAGCAGTGACCAGTGTGCTCTGCACACACACCACTGCAAACCAGCACACACACACACACACACACCAGCTCATTGCTCTGCACACACACGCCGGCACACACATACACACCACAACACACACACCGGGGCTCACACACACACCAGCGCACACAGCCAGTCTAGTGACACCAGTTACCCCAGCCAGCGTGTCTTCTGGAAGGGAGAAAACTGGAGCCCTGGGGAAACACACGCAGGCATGAAGAGAACATGGAAACTCCACACAGCTGAGGCAGCACAGTGATCTGCCACTTGACTTTCTGCCATTTCAATTCACGTTAATATAAAATCACAGGTTTATGGAACATCTGGTGCATAAGTGGATATTTTTCAGCATGAAAGATCAGAATTAAAGCACAATTTATTTCACTGAAATTCACAAAGTTTGCAAACCTCACAAATAAGCATTGTGTTGATTGCTGCGCCAGACAAAAACTCTGTTCGCTGCAGAATTAACAGTCACACCTTCTGGCCCATCAGGTCTCACTCAGCCTGGACAGGACCAGGGTGGACCAGTAGGTGGTGATCTTCCCTCTTTTTCCAGCACACTGCCCCCATATGGGGACCAGGAACACAGTGTTGTAGGGTGTGACTGAGGTCCTAACATAAAAATTACAGTCTGGACTCCCTAAAGCCAACCCTTATTCCAGCCGCTGAAGTAGACTCCTACAACCCCACCTGACCTGCTGCAGGGCATCACCTTTGACATGAAAAGCACAACGTAGGCGTACAGTTAATTAATCACTCCAGCAACACTTAAATTCAGCTTTTGAATCTAAGACAACAGGACTTTACTACACAGTCTCTTCCTATGGAGCACAGGATAACGCTGGCCAGTGAATCCACGTTTTCTGACCCTTTACTCAGGAAGTCCAAAGTCATTGTGCTCTACGGCCCCAGACACCGCCATCTTTTGTTCTACACGGAGCGCTTTCACAGTCCCACCCTCCATCTCCACAGACGCGTCTCTGCGAGAACGTGACAAGAAAGACAAGCACCTTTTTAATCCGGCCGTCCTGTGCGCAGGGCTACCGTGCAGCCAGACGTAATCCTTTCACCGATACAGAGGTCCCATTGTGTCGCTGAGCCGCAGGCGAAACCGATTCAACACCCACAGGCGAAACCCTACTGACCTCTCAAAGGTCAACGTTCAAGGGTCAGAGACGCACAAGCGCTCCGCTCTTTTTTAATGATCAAACTCCCTGTAAAAAACAATAATAATTACAAAACGAGATGAAAGAAAAGGTCACGATTGATTTTCCTGAAGATATGAAAATGAAAACGGCTTTACAAGGTCCAAAGAGCCAAACAATGAAACAAGAGGTTCGTCCCAGTTCAATAAACTTGTCTGGGAGTTTGTTTTTTTTAACCCATTTTATCTTTTTTAAATTCTTTTGAAATGGAATTTACTCGCCAAGAACCGACGAGAGGGTGTGTTCTGGCATCTACCCTGACAGAAAGTCATACAATTATCATTTAGAAAGTCTGTAATAAACTAAGAAAGATCTACATGTTTCACGCTGACGTAAATCCCATATTATGTACGATTCCTGTGCCCGTCTCCTTAACGCCAGAAATTGCTTTTTAAAAATACATAAGGAGTAATGCACTGAATACCAACAATAACCACGCTAATATGTGATTACCACGCAGTACGTTTCACTGCTCAAAATAAACAAGAGGTTTACAGAACACCAAGCACTGTCGGTCTAGTTACCATTGGAAGGTTATGTCAATATACACTGCAGACCAATTTTCCGTTGCAGGTCACCATTTCATATCCAGCACATGCTTTGCAGTGACTTTTCCCGTTTTTCGTTATTCCCATCATCTGTATCCCGGAAAGCTAAATCCTGGGGAAGAGCGCCCCCGTGTGGATAAATGATTGCTGGCTGTGGAAGTAAACTACGCTATTAACTATATTTTGTCAGAACTCTTTGTTGTCACACTGTAGTACTTTGTGGTCATTAGAAGGGGTAATGGTTCGTTTTGTACTGTTTCTATGCAGCTTTGATGATCTCTGTCTGACGCTGACAAACATTAACACTTCCAACTCAAATTACTTGAATTCAATACACTCATTCAGAAGGTTTGTACTGCTGCACGTTCTGCTTGTGGCAGTAAAATGCACGTTGTCAGAGCACATGTTCCATTCAACTTTTGTTTCCTACTAACTCATCTGAAAGTAGTACAGCCCTTCTGATGAACTGAGTGCAGGCTACGTCTTGTCCTGACTGTACAGCAGCATGAACCTGGGCCTGCTTGGTGCAGCTCTTGGATACAAAGATCCTAAACTTAATCACATTCATTTTATAAACAAAAGTAGAACATTCTCTAAACTGTGATGATCTGTATGTTTTGAATAAGCCTGGTTGAAGAAGAGTCTGTCTCGAGCCGATGGGCTCATGGCGATTTTGGTACCAAAGTCATGAGTTGATGTAGTTCTTTAACTCAGGCATCTCCATGTCTGTTCCTGTAGAGCCACAGTGTGGCAGGTCTCCTTCGTAACCACGAGTTCATCATTTTCAAAGGCTCAGAATAACTTGCCCGTGATCGACTAGCTCATGATTGAACTCGGGACCCGAGAGACTGTGCGGGACTCGGGTCCGAACGCCCCTCAACCCTCAGCCTCGCTCCCCTCGTGGGAGCGCCCTCTGTGCTGAGGTGCCGCTGGTTCCCAGACACTGCCAATCGTCCTGCGCTGTGGATCTGCGGGAGAGCAGCCGGCAAGTCCTGCACTGACTGTGCTGATCGTCGCCATGATGGGGGGGCCAGTGGATGGATCTGCCGCTCTGGGGGTGTCGGGGTCACAGGGCCCAGGGATCTCGGAGAATGAAGCCGGCGAAGGACACGAGGCGCCAGGATGAGCACACAGCAGGAAGTGCACCTATGTCTGGAAACGGGATCGTTCACAGTGCTGCTAGGACCCAGCCCGTCTGTCCCGAGGTTTGGAAACTAGGGAGCGGCTGACAGGTTGGGTTCTGGACCAGATCAGATCCATTCTCACAGCTCACCGCCAGTCCAGTCTGTGACAGCACAGTGCCAGCTGGAGCAGAGAGAGCCCACTACCCAGTCACCCTGCAGACAGGCAGCCCGGTGCAAACAGGAAGCCAGTGGGTGGAAACAGGAAGGAGGAAGCGAGGCAGCAGCAGGAAAGCACACGGGACACGGAGCTGTACAAGATTTGATTTATTAACTATTATACATGTCACGTAAGGCCTTAATGTTTTTACACCATACTCCCATTGAGACAAATTACGATACTTTTAGCAAATAATAACATGATTTTTTTTGTTTTGTTGCATTTTACTTCATTTTTTTGTCATTTTATTTTTTTTTACTTTTTTTGAATACTGAGAGTGGCTTTCCCTCTCCCTGGCACTGTACTTAATCATGCACTATTACTGAACTGGCCTGGACACCATTCACAAAACTGTTAAAAAATGGTCTTTTTTAATTATTAAAATAAAACATAAAAAGAAATGTCTTCTATCACCAATGACTAAAGGGCAGATTGTTAGACCCCTAACATACAAATAAACAGCCATTTTTAATATATTTTGCTTGTTTCACTTAACTTAACAGACAGTCTGTCACCATTGTGGCAAAAATGAAGAACAAAAATGGATGCCACCACAGAGACCGCTGAACCGTGATCACATTGTAATCCAGGCTGGGTTTCCTGGTCACCTGTGCTGGAAGCCAGCTGTAGTGTTTGTCAATGACACACGGAGGGCGCCGCCCCGGAGGACGACAGTACAAGTACCAGAGGTGCAGACTGGGTGCAGGAGACACTGCCTTCCTCAGCCCCCCTCCCCAGGCAAAGGCCTGCATGACAGACAACATGGATTTGGTGTCATTTCAACATTTTAATTACAGACCACGTCTTCGAGTGAGAGGCGAGAGGAGTCTCGCAGGTTACAGCACACAGTGAACAGGCAGGCTAGCCCGCAGCCCTGAGCCGGCCGGGAGGCTGGACACACAAATGCACCTCTCGTTTCAGAGCCCACAGAGCCAAGTGGTACTTCTACACACGCGCCCACCCCCTGCCCGGCCCGGCCCGGCCCGGCCCACTCCTCAGCTGCTCCGTGCTCAAGCAGGAGACAGACACAGCAGGCCCCTGCCAAGACAGAGCTTCCATCTCCTGGATCATCGCAGCTCCAAGCGCAGAACACACCCGTTTCCAGCAAAGACCTGATCCCTGCAGCTCCCCTTCAGCCCTACCCCATCTGCAAGACTGCTCACAGATTCAGCCATCCCAAAACATACTCATCCCACCTTCCTGGTTCCTGGAATTCTACACCCCACTGGAGACCGAGAACTACACCAAACTCTGCATTTCACAGGCCAGGAACATGATCCTGCCCTGCGTGACCCTTTCTTTAAACACTGCTGACTGCTGACCTGATGACTGTTTCTGCTTCAGAAGAAGCAGCTCTGCCAGCTGTGAGCTGTGCAGCGTTGTATCGGCTTCAGCTCCCAGGATTCAGAAGCAGACATCGATCGATCCGTGTTTTCATCCATGTACCAGAGCAGTGCTGAAATGACTGTCTGACCGGTGCGCTGGGTGCACAGCTGAAGCTGTTTAGAAAGCCCACCGGAAGCCCCCTCCCTGCCCCTCAGTGCTGTGCTGGACTGCGTGCGGTTCAGAAGGGCTAGTGCTGGGCTCAGCTCTCACGCAGCGCATCACGTAGCGCCAGGGCTAGCTGGGGGATTCTCACCTCCTGCCCGCATGTGTTGAGCACAAGGGATGCAATCATGTTACACTCAGGGCTGAAAATGGGAACTAGCTCTTCAGCATCCAACACTGTGGAACCCCAGATCAGTATAGGAGAAACAAATGGAAAACTGCCAAGGGCAAGGATGAGGGTGAGAGAGTTCCCCCTGTAACACAGCATTTTCCTGGGATGCTCAGCCTCAGCAAGAGCAAATACATACCAGGTCGAACAGCAAACACTGACACAAGAGATCCTGCTGTCCAATACACCTCCCACAAACCTGCATGGGTTCAGAAAGGACTGGGACCTCTCAGACAGAGCAGCCTTCAGAACCTTAGACATTCAAAATTACATTTGTATTATATACTTCAAAAAGGCTTACAAGCTAATGCAGAAAAAATAACTAGGAAAATGTGTGAAAGTGCAGTAATAATTCTCATATCTGGCTCATATTCCGTGACCGTTTTAGTCATACTTCCCAGTACAAAACAACACTCAAAGCCCCCCTGACACTATGTCTCACCCTATTCCAAGCCCCCTGCAGGCTCAGACACTGCAGATAACAGCTGTTTCTCAGCCACGCCAAGCTGAGGCCAACAGCCTGCCTTTGGCTGCAGGACAGACCACACTCTCTAGGTGGCAGCAGAGCTCTCTGACCAGCCTTAGCAATGCACCAGGCCTCCTGAATGAGGCAGAGAACACCAGCAGTGATTGCACTGCCCTCACTTGATATGCTCTACCTACTCCCCTGCACCATGTCTCTCCCCACTGACACAATCTTCCTCCCTCACCCTGTGACAGGAAGAAAGTCACTCTTCAGACTCCACTGCCTTAGTATAGCTGTGCAATTTCCTCTTAGCCTCTGTTTCCAAACAAGTCTTGAACACCCACAGGATCCAAAGAGAGGTTGGAAATTGGAAGAGATTTATGAGTCAGCAACTGTAGTCCCAGTCAGTGAAAAAGTGTTTGATGTGATGAATCGAAAGCTCCTCAAATCCAAAGGAAAACACTTCTGCAGCACAAAAACGTTACCTGGTAAAAAAGTCAAACTGAGTGCAACTGCGGCAACAGACACGACAGTCTTCCAGCAGCACGTCGAGAACAGGGTAACGGCTGCGTGTCCGGCCGTGCTGGGCTCTGAGAGACGGGTCCGGGGAAGAGCCGGGCTGCTGTTGATCATGTCACTTACACAAGCGGGGAACAGCTACTGCTGCTACAGCTGTCTGGGACTCGACTGGGAACTGGACCGCACTGGGCAGCGCCCGGCATCGGCACGGAGTCTCTCCCCCAAGAGCCAGGATTCCCAAACCAGAGAAGCTCCAGCAGGGACAGGTGGGCCTGTTCCACCCCCAGCAGAGGGGGGGCGCTGCAGCCTCGCAGTGTCAGTCCAGCTGCCTGTCCCCAGTCTTCCCCAGAGCTGTGTAACGGCACATATTCCCCGGCTTTCCATATTCCAGTCTGAAACGGCACGCAGAGTCAGCCCTCTGCTACCCAGCGCTCTACCGCTGCAACTCCAGCTTATTCCAAACATCCTGATCCTCCTCCCTGAACCCAGTGCCGATATTAACTTGTTCATTTTGGCTGACAACTCACATCTGCACACCTGAGTGGCGTACCCTGAACCTACAGCCGGCCAGCGACTCCGGAGCCCTGACCGGGACTTTCTGTGTGTATCAACAGCTCAGACGCAACACCAATGAAAAGGAGAAGGTTGTGACACGGCAAAATTGATTCACAGGAATGGCAGGAAAGCTTTTTGGCAGCCCCCGCATTTTAACTGGCCTGCTCTTAAAGATCAAATGCAACAGTATCCCCTTACTTAGACTGTTCTAGAAAGCATGCATCTCAACAGGTCACGTCTGATCGATACCCTTACAGGACTCTGGCTGCAGCCTTAATTATTAAACCGGTAACAGTCTATGGAAAACATCCAGAGTGCTTCCTAACCGCACTTCTGCAGCGGATTAGTGGACTGAAGCGTCAGCTGGAGAGGCCTCCTGTGAGCAATACGGAGCACCAGCAAGGCAGAGAGATGAGCAGCAGAGAACAGCAGCCTGGCAGACTAACCCAAGCGCAGGGCCGAGCAGACACAGCATTCTGATCCATCTTGGGTTTTACCAGCTGCAGCTTCTTGTGCAGAATGTACTGGCAAAGAACACAAAACAACCTGACCTATGCTCTCATCACACTGTTTGTTCAGATTAATTATCAACCTCACTGCATCCTCCTTAACTGATGAAGCAGACACGGACGGTTTTCCAGACAAACAGATCCGAACCTTGAGAATAAAGTCTGAAAAGCCGGGTTTGGGGCGAGCAGGTCATACGTATCGCTCATGTTGCGTCTAACTCCACGCCCTTTCATGCACAGCCTCTCCTCACGTCTGAGCACCCAGCTGCTGGACTCCCCGCCAGGGTCTCTCCCAGGGGACTGGCACAGGCGGAGGCTCTTCTGATTGTTGCTGCAGTGCAGCTGCTGGCAGGGCTCCAGCATTCTTCAACAGCACCAAGAAGAGCTTGTTCCCAAAGTAAATCTGTTTCCTACACTGACACACGTGCGCACACACCCTCCTGCTCGCTCTGCTGCTCTCCCTCCTCACTCCCCACCAATCCCTCGATCAAGGCGATCGCACCCGGACGCAGCCCTGCCGCGCTCCCAGCACAGCAGTCTAATCCACCGCCGCTCTCCAGAGCCGCTGGCTGTAGAAAAGACGAAACGAAAGCTTTACCTTCCCCCAGTCTTGTATGCAAATGCACTCAGCCCACTGAAACAGGCCTGACTCAGCCCGCTCAAGGTGCCGACTTGTTTCAGTCTCCGTACGGAACAGCCAGCAGCCCGGAGCGCCTGCAGCTGCACAGCAGAGGGGAGAAGGCCTGCTCCAAGCCTCTGGCCCACAATCCCTTGCACAATTCCCCAAAGTCCAGAAACCCAGGCTGACGTCCAGGACAGGGAGAGGCGTTCTGACAGCCTGTATTGGGAGGCTCTTCCCATCATGCCTTACTTCTACCACGCTGCACATCCTGAAATCTCCTAAAATACTAAGAAGGGTTGCGGGGGTGTGCAGCGCCAGGACTCCAGGAAGCTCACGCTCCCCAGTCGCGCTCAGACGGAACCTTGTTTCATTTGTACCTCCAAGTAATATACATACGTACTGAACAAAAATGGAAACGGTAGTCCATGATGGTATAAGGGGACAAAAACAGATGGTTTTAAAGGGGAGATCAGCCTTGAGGCAGAACGGGTCCTCTCTCTGACACAGAGGCCCTGGCGTCTCAGTTGGATCCAGAGCCGATCAGACCGCCTCACTGCGGCAGTGCGGGGCGCCAGGCCACACCGGAGCAGGAATGCCGTCAAACCAGCCTGCCGTTCCCACTCGGCTGATGGCGCTTTGCCAGGAGGCCTGTTTCACTCCGAGCGCCCCGACTGCTCAATCATTCTCCCCTGCCAACGTCCCGCTACAGGCATGTCGCCATCAGCTCTGTGGGCAGCGCCGCGGGGGCGAAGCGGCACGGCCAACGAGACGCGTGTTCAGGAAGTGATAAGTGACAACAGCCCCCGAAGAAACACTCCCCCCGGTCACAATGTCCATGCGCTGTGCCCACTGACGGGCACCCTCCCCCTGGGAGATCCCCGCTGCAGCCGCAGGCCGCACAGGGCGAGGAAACCAGTCGATCCGGTCCCGCACACTCTCGGGACGTCCCGACGCCACGCTGCTGATGCACAGTCCTGAGCAGCGATCGCCGGGACAGCACTGCGCTGCTGGATCCACACACCGAGTCCAAAGGCCCGGTGAGGAAAAAACCGAAATAAATTAATCAACACCAGGGACAAATCGGCTTGGTGTGTCCGGCCCGTGGAGATGAGCAGGGCTCCCGGGGGGAGGAATCCAGCTCGGGCTCGCTCTGCCCCAGTCGGGTTTGGTTTGGGCGGAAGAAGGATTTGGAGAGTTTTGTTCTGCTCCGGAGGGAGGGGCAGGGGACTCCCAGGATGAATGAAAAAGACTCTAATCACGCCCTGACACGCTCCCCCCGAGATCACACACGCCCTGCGGCCCGGAGCTGCCGGGACAGGTGAGGGGCGCTGGCAGGGTGGGGGTGGCTTCCCGACTCCAGCACCCACGGGTCCCAACTGTCCGAAAGTTCTGGTGAACAACTCCACTCACCGGCAGCTCGGCGCCGCGCCCTCCTGCCCCCGGGATATGCACAGGAGAGGGGAGCTCCGGGAGGCAGTGTCTGTGTGGGTCCTCCTCCGCGGGCAGGGAAGCAGGGAAAGGGGGATTCAAGGTCGGGAGGAAGCAAACAGAGCCCCGCTGACCGGGAGCCGCCGCTGGGGCTCCTGCGCTCGCTCCAGGCCTCTCCCCGCTGGCCGCTGGCCGCTGGCCGCTGGCCGCCGGGCGCCGTGGCGGGCCGTGAGCCTCAGAGCGTGTGCTGCTCGGCCGACACGTGCTGAGGGGGCAGGAGGGGCAGCAGCGGCGACTGCGGGGTGGGCGGCGGCGAGTGGGGCGGGGACTGCTGGGGCGCCCCCGGGGAGGAGGAGGAGGGGAGCGGCGGGGGCACGGGAGTGTAGCAGGAGTAGCTGGAGGCTCCGATCAGGGTGGTGGGCGAGGCGGGGAGGCCGCTGGGCGTGTCCACGAGGGGCTGATTGTAGAAGAAGAAAGCACACTGGTGGATGAAGGTCTCGATGATTGTCTGGTAGGTGCGCGTGGCGGTCAGAGCGTCCATGGTGGTGAAGTCGGGCCGCATCAGCGTGGGCCAGAAGCAGATGGACAGGTTCTCGCTGGTCATCAGGTTCACCCTGTTGTTCTGGCTCACCCTGGGGGCAGAAACGCAGGACTTTAAAGACGACACGTGTGTGTGATCAGCCTGTCGGAGAACATTCATGTGCGCCAGTTCATAAAGAGGCTACGGGGGGTTGTGTGTTCAGCCAACATGCTAGGAAAACCACACTGGAAACAGAAATAACAGCATTTTGCTTTTTTAAGCCTCAAATACTGGAGCTGGAACCACTGTACAGAGGAGGAGGTACTACTGCTGTAACAGTTCACAAGTTTCCGTCCTCCTCCTCGAGATGCAGATGGTGGAAAGGAATTGACAAAAATCATCGCAAGTATTAAGTATTATGTACATGTACTCAAAATGACAATGCCTGCTCCCCAGGGGGCGGGGCACCAACAGGGCCAGGAGCTGGGCAGTGACAAACTACTCACTTGTTCAAGTGACAGATGACATATTTGAAGACATCGTAGTTCTCCCGAGGGAACCTGCGCAGGATGTCCTTCATGGCTTGCAGCCTCTGCTCCCGTTCGTTGATTTCTGTGAAAAAAGGGGGGTGGGGGAGCAAGTAGGCTGGTGTCAATCACTTTGCCTTCACTGGCCACTCCACAGACAGACAGGTGTGTGTGTGTG